TGTCCCTCTCTTTCTACCTCCTTGAGAAAAAATCCAATTTTCCAACTAGGAATTGTGCCTGATCTTATGATTGGGACACATGGGCTGGAGATTCTCTGAGGAGCAAGACACCACAGGAGCAGATCTATGGCAAAGGCTGAGAACTATGCCCAGGCAGGGAACACTTCACTGCACCATCCCTGCCCTGGAGATGGACCAACAAAGAGCAAATTAGCAATCAGTATACATTTGCATCAAAACTGGCAAACATATTGTCAGAGCCAGGAACTTCTGGTATGCCAGGAACAGGTATGTCAGGATTTTTCATATTCTTTTAACAGACAAATAGCTCTTCTCTTAAATCACTGGCCATTTCTAATGCAACAAAATAGACCACAGGAATACATGCTGAAAATAACTAAATATGACAAATAACTAAAAAATAACTAAAATATAACAACATTGTTAAGGATATTTAGAAAGGGAACCAGAAAGTGACAGAGATCTGGCATCAGCTTGACACTAAGGACAAGGGCAGCTACACCAGATATGCAGAATTTTAGCGAGTCACTCAGCCAGTCTTTCCAGACAAAGAAAGGCAAGGGAATTGAGACGTTTCTGTGTTGGCTTTTGTGTCTTTCTTTGGGTGTTTGCAGCTCACAGTGTTTACATTAAGTTAATACTGCTGACTACGTATTCTGTATATTGAGGTTAAATAACTGATAGTGTCATGGTTGCTGGCCACTTCTCCCCAGCCCCTCTCCTAGTTAACTGGGCTTTTTTGTCCTTACTTCTCTCCCAGGAAATGCTAACATTTTTCCAGAGTGGACACTATGTGCCATTCGCTCAGCTCAAGATTAAACACCCTCTCTTCTAGGCCACTTTCTCCTTTCCCTCCTTCTGCTTGTAGTGAGGGTGGACACCAACATGGGCACTGACTTACATCTGTACAACTGGGACTGTGATGCGACAAGCTGAACAACAGCACGTTTTCCCAGTGCTTGTCCCGATTCCTCTGTGGGAAACAAACCTTATTTGCTTCAGTAAAGCTATAAACTCAAGGGTGGGGTGGGCCTTGATTTGGCAATGCTTTCTGCCTCCCACACCTCTCTGGTAGAAATGTTCACGTAAGGCCAGACAATTTGAAGAGAAAAAAAATGGAAGAATCACACCCTTAAAAAGAATGTAATTTCTCCATGGCAGTTTTCCACTGCTTTTCATTTTTTTCCTTCAACCAGGCATTTTGAGAATGCATCATTTAAAAGAATCAAATTCTCATATGAAATTTATTTTACAATGCCCCTTTTCAGAGAGGTTTGCACGCAAACTGAGAATTTTCAGGTTTCCCAGGCAGATGAACCTTGTCCGGGCAGAAGCCCATGATAGCTTACGTTATTCAGCATGGCATTATCCCATGCTGTTTACTTATAGCTTGCTGAAAATGAGGGACGACGGAACACGTTTTCCAGGGCACACCCTGACTTTATTCTTAGTAAATTGTTTAGTATATTCTCGGCCTAGAAACTCACAATTCTTTGAGCACTTTTTAAAATAATACCTGCTCATTTTCAGCTGTGGGGAGAAGGTGACAATAACCCCTTCAGTACCTCCACTGGTGAGCAAAGGGGGCAACTTCAGAAGACAGCCTAACCACCTCCTGGGAGACAGAGTTGATGCAATGGTAGAGCATGAATTCGTCAAATTCAGAGAATGAGCTTTGGGGATGAGGGAATCCTCTAATAAAATAAACAGAAAATTAAATTCACCTCCCTTTTTCTCTCACATGTCTCCCATCTACGCCTGCCTGGTAGAGAACAACGTGGTGCCTAGACATTAGCACTATCAGCACAACTCATTGACGTTATACAAACCCAGGGGTCACATTTCGCTTCTGGCTGGACTCAAGGGAATCCTTTCTTTCCTCCTGAGAAGGCTAATGCTGCATCCTGGTGATGAGCAAAGGTACCATCAGTACTGGAATGCCTTTCCTTGTCACCACACTTATAGCTCAGCCTGACATACCTGTACATAGACAGGAGTGTATGTCACAGGAAGCACCTGAGCTGTGCTGGAGGCCTTACTGTGGCCATGGGGAGCAGATGGTGTCTACCAACCCCATAGAGGTTCTACAGAGACTAAAGCTGTATTAGAAATGAGACTCATGTCATGCTGCTACTATTCCTATGCATTTCTCCATATGCAAATAGAAAAATTAATAAAGCATCCTCTATCATCCTTCCAAACTCATCTGGACAACAGCATCAAATATGTTATAAAACACAGGTGTCACATCTTCTTTTTAAGTGGAAACTTTGAGTTTCACAGGGACAAGCTTCATAACTCTCTTCTACAAATTAGGAAGCTTGACTATTCAGAATTAAAACAAAATTCTAGAAAAAAATCCATTTTGTATTGACATACATACATATTACGTGTTCATGCATGCAGCCAACCCTGTGCCTCTGTGTATTGTTCTGAACAGTACTAGGTCACACAGAAAATTGAATGTATTTAAATAAGGTGCAACAACTTCTCCCTGCTCCAAACAAGGTCCATGGACAATGATTCTCTTTCCTGGTTATATTTACAAATGGAAATGGATTGTATTTACAAATAGAAATAGTTAAACAGCATAGCGTCATTTCAGACTAAGTTTGGCTGTTGTAGTGCTCCTCTCTGAAGTTTGGTGAGTCTACACCCTGTATTTTCCCCCAGACTACTTATCACGTCTGCAGTACCATAAATCTGCCAACTTTTCCTATCATGTCTACTGCTAATTAGGCTTCATTGGGGTTTTCACTCTCACACTCCGTACGTCGGATAAATGCAGTGGCTATAAGCACTGCTAACTGCATTACTGCTTATTGAGGCAGTTCCAGTGGTCATGCTAAACCAGTGATAATAAAGTAGACTTGTGTGGACACTGCCAGAGAGTCAACAAACCTTATTTAGTGCTCCCTAAGTACTGCCCATAAAATATTTAGAAAAAGAAAGAGAAATAATAACTTTCTATGTTTTGGGTTTTTGGGGGGGGGGGGGGGCACAACATGACACCAATCAAATTAACCTGCCCCTGCTGAAGCTGGGGTATACCTAGTAATATAAAACCCAAAAGGTATTTATTTTAATTTTTAGAAAAAGCTCCTTTAGAAGTGTATTTAAAAAACATCTAGCATTTCAACAACAGTTGATAGTCACTGAAAGTTACACAAAAAATAACCATTACAAAACTTGTCTGAAAATATAATAACAAAAATAAAAGTAATTCACATGAGTCCTTTAGAAGAGTGATCTCTATAGCCAGAAATGAGATGGCAGTATACTACAGCTAATGCAGATATTATAGCCAAATATATTTGTGGTAACACATCTAAAAGAGAAAGAATGAAAACTGATGTGCAGATACTATGCAAAAGATTCAAATACTACTAAAAATTGGGGGAGAGGGAGGGTAGAAGGAGGGGAGGATACAAGTGCTAATCATTATTTCATGAGGCCCATATTCACAAAGCAATTTTTTACAGGTGGTTGGAGGTATTTCTCAGCCTTTAACTGACAGGAATACAGGAGCCTCAGAGGCCTTAAGTAGCAATTCTATTCATAGGCCCTTAGCCTTTATGTAATTGTATCAAGTGCAGTAACAGACGTAAATTAACATGCGCTCACCCCCTGCTCCTATCAATGTATGCCTTGACCTTTTAAGAAACCTCAAGAGTAGAACTAGTTTAGTATTTGATACATTCTCTTTTGGGGGAGATTAAATGCTGGTCTAGGAGGTGCATGTACTCAAGGCTCTAGCAGGCCTTACCCACCTTTAGCTATAAGAATTTGCTTTTCCTCAATACCTATAAATAAGCAAAGTTTGTCTACTTTGGTGGTAAATGAGCTGATACCGGTAAAGCACTGCTAAGCTTTATGGGTCCTAATGAAGTGTTTAACCTAAGTCAGGGGGTAGCAGAACCCCCAACTTCTGAAGATATCTGCCGGTAATGACAGCTTTCTGAAGAAAGATATTTTTGTGGTTTTACAGCAAATCATCCATTGCAACTTGTGGGCAGATAACGGCCATCAAGATATAAGATGCCAAAGTGAAAAGACAAAAATGGACTTCTTGCAAAAATCCTTCCTATGAATTTCATTTACTCATAAATTGAATTTAAAATCCAAAAGAAAAAAAAAAGAATATAAAAATAAAAATGTAAAAACACTTTGCCGTAGTTACTTGTCTATAAGCTTTTAATTTTGTAACTGGAATGTATTTCGTCTTTTTCCAAAGTTGCCACGTCTGGAAACAGAGCAGGGTACAATGGCTAAAAATGAGTCAAACAAGGATATTTTTGATTGTTTTAATGGGGCAGGGTCCTTTTGCTTTTAAAATACGTGCTATAAATTAATTTGCCTCTTGATTTTCTACCTCATGACTATAGTGGTAGGCAGAAAATTGTACTAGCTGTCTCAAGGATCGTGCATTAAAAAAAAAAAAAGAAGAAAAAAAACCTACGAGACAAAAACTACGAGGACTGCAAATGTCGGACAATGCATTTAACTATGAAGTGGAAGAGTGTTAACTAGCAAATGAAGAAGGAAAGATGAGGTAAGTAAACAGATTTTAGGCAATGCTCACTAACTTTTTTCTTCCCCACCTTCTTACGATGACAGGTTTCACTTGAAATCACTTTGACGGTCTGTTTATATATAATTTATATCAACTTTACTTGGATTTTCCCCCCCTCTTTCAATGACCTGACCTCCTTTCCACCAGCCTGGGCTTTCTCCCGTGTGGATAAGAGGTGTTAGCCTGTACCTAGGGGCTGCAGGTGCTGCCTTGAGCCCTGTCAGTGCTGGAGGTCCCCGAAGAGCTGTGGCCTAAGCCTCTATTAGGCCAAGCCTGGCTGTAACCAGCACCGAGATCTAAGGGAATGGCAGTAGCTGGGAACCCAGACGGCTCTCCGGCTTTCAGGAGGGCCCCGTGTGAGTAACCCCGGGGGTGTGGGGGAAACCCGTCGTGCCGCTGCTCTCACCTGCCTGCGGCCCTCGCTGCTCCCACGGCGCCTCTGGCCTCGACGGCGCGTCCGCACCTGTGGGGAAAGGCAGAGGGAAAAGGAGGGTTATTCGGGTCGGGGGTGGCTCCCGCAGGGGTCTCCGCTCCTCCCCGACTCACCTGGCTGCGGATTGCCCTGAAGCCTCGAGGGGAGCGGAGACTGGCTCACGGCCCCACCTGGGCGTCCGTGTCACCCGAGAGGACACACACACACACACACAGAGCACCAAGTGGAGACCTAGCAGCTGCCCCAGGCCCAGCCTCAGCACAGCACGTCGGGGGAGGCAAGTCCAGCCCGGGACGCGCCTTGGCGGGGCCAGGAGAGGGCCCGACGGGAGAAGGAAAGGGCCAGGGCTTCCCCGGGGCGGCCCGGAAGGGCTGCCGGGGGGTGGGGGCTTTGTCGGCCGGGGCAGGGGCGGTAGCGGCCCGGACCGCCCGACGTGTGTGAGTGTCCCGCAGCAGAGGGACCTGCGAGGAGCGAGGACAGGGAGAGGGGTAGGGCAGGGAGCGGAGTGGGGCAGGGCGGCTGGGGACAGGCGCCCCGTGGAGCTGCGGCGGGCGCGGAGCCCGGCCAGGGGCATCCCCCGAGCAGAAGGGAGCGGCTCCCGCTCCGCCCGCAGCAGCCGCAGCCCTGAGCATGGCAGCAACAGTTGGCTGGCAAGGTAAAGAGACGTGGAGCTGCACCACCGTGGCTCGGATTTCCACTCGCGCCTGAGCTGCCCCCACAAATCACTGCTGGTTTCCATTCTCTTGAGGGACGACTGTAGACAGGGAACACACAGGATGCTTTTTTAGCCTTAGCTTGGCTGATCCCTCTTATCACTTCCCTCTTCTTTTTTTCCAAGTTCCCCCTACTACCTTGTCTCTCTCTTTAGATTATGCTCACATGAATAAAAACCCCGTAAACACGTTTGCTGGCGACCAGAAAGTACAAATGTCTTTTTTTTCTCTAAATAGAAGAGGATAAATAATTATGAAAATGCGAGTCTACTTGAAAGATATTGTGACCCTTCCACCTTTGTTTTCATCAAGCCAGCTAGTGCTCAAGCTACGTGTCCTGAGCAGGAAGCAAAGGAGGGAGGGGAGCAACGAGGAGCTTTTTCTTTGCCTTCTTTTCTCACTTATCCCTTAGCCGGCCTTTTACTCTTTTCTAAAGTGCAAGCAGGTCTTAAAAATCTCTTTTATCTCTCGAGAAATATTAACTCTTAACCTCGACTGTGGTCCTCGTCCGATCTCTCCTATGCAGGCTTCCCTGAAATGCAAAGATCAGCCCTTTCTCAGACGAATCTCCCTCCGTGCTGCTGTCCGGGGGGGGGGAGCAGAGGGGACACCCCTTGTAGTTTCTAACAGCCGAGACCTTAGATCCCCCCCCCCCCCCGTTTTTATTTTACAGCCGGGCGAACCATAGGCCCCTGTGTTGCGTCAAGCGGCCACTCTGCTACCAACTTGCTGCTCAGATCTTGTCTCTTTCACGAAGCTGATCTGCACGGACAGATCTGCTCCTAATCACTCCTTCTTTTGGGGGGCGGCAGGCAGGGAGGATTTCTCTTTGCTATTTATTTCTTGCCCACGGAATCCAGGCTAGTAATTACTGCAAAGAGAGGGAAAATGCAGCTTCCCCAACTCCTGCCTGAGATGCTCTCAGTGCTGTGTGCCTGCACAAGGCAGTTTCAGAACCACAGAGCTGGTGCTGATGCTGCTTTGCTCGCTTGCAATCACCTCGTCCAAAAGCATTGCCTCGGCTGGGTTTTCCCTCGGATTCTGCCTTTTTTACCCTTTTCGGGGGCACTAGTTTTTGGGGAAAGAGTGATCGGAGAGATCACCGGACTGCAAGTTGCTTAAAATCAGGTTGGAAGTGGGCAGGGGGGAGGGAGGCGCCTTTGGCAAGCGCTTCCATGGTGCATCTCCTGCTAACTGGGGTCTCCCCCAAACCGCGGCGGATCCGTGCACCTCCCCCTCCTCCTCCCTCCCTATTATTTATGGGGTGATCCCAGTAAATCCCACCCTCCCCACCTCGAAATAAACCGAGGCTCACGATTACAGAGCATTTAATGAATCACTCAGAAGAATTTTTTTTTATGAATTAATCTCGATCAACTAGGACACCCATATTTTTCAAACACGGCTATGTCCTGGAAGGAGGGGAGGGGGAGGGAAAAGGTGAGGGTAGGAGAACTTTTAAGAAGTTTTATTCTATTTTTATTTTTCCATAAATGAAATAAAAACTATCATACAGTTATCCGAATAAACGTGTGATTTGCTCCTTTAGGCAAAAGTCGATTAAAAAGTTAGGCTACTAGGCGACGGGGAATATTTGGACGTTTGGGGGATCAAGCGGAGTAGGAAAGGGGGGAAAGGGTGTTTATTTCTCTCACTACATATATATCTAGAAAGACACATATATACACTCACAGCGGGAGGGGGGCGAGGGGGGGGGGTTGGACAGGGGAAAGGGAAAGGTGCCAGGAATTAATAATAGAAGCCCACAGAGTCTAGATAAGTCCAAGGCTCGGCGATCGCAGCTGCTGCTCCTTCGGCGAATGCGCCCTCCGCGAATGCTTTTTGGGGTAAGGGCTTCCCGGGTAGGTAGTTATGTACAGCAAGCCCAGACCGCAAAAAGATTCGCGAAGGACAAAGTCTCCCGCTGCTTCCTACATCCATCCATCCGGCTGCCACCACAACATCCACAGGACCCACGGGCGATCGGCTCCGCCATCCCCCGCCACGCCGGGTCCCCACCCCCATCCCCGCCAAGTCCCGTTCCGAAACCCAGGACCCCGCCGGGAGAGGCGGCGGCGGGGGGGAAGGGGGGTGTCCCACCACCCCGCACCCCCCCGTGGCGGGGCCGGGGCCGGCGGCGGGGCCGCGGGAGCGTGGGGAGCGCGGCGTGTCCGCGGCCCCGCTCCGCGCGGAGGCTCCGGCGCTGGGCACGGGCGCTGCGTAAAGAGAAAACTCTCCCCCCTGAGCGCTAAATAAATAGAGAGCAGGAGGGCCGCTCATTGGTGCGGGCTAAAATCGTCACCCACCAATCAGCGGGCGCCTCACACTGCCTCGCTCGGCTTTTTTTTTTTTCCTTTTTTTTTTTTTTTTTTTTTTTTCTCCCGAAAGGGGGAGAGGAGAGCGGGAGGGAAGGATGGATGGATGGATGGATGGAAGGAAGGAAGAAGGGAAAAAAAGAAAAAAGGAGGGAAAAAAATCCCTCTCCATGTTCAATTAGTCACCAAATCCACGACAAGAGCACGTCCGACAGCGCGACCGGGCCAGCCCAGACCCCTTCTCGCCTCTGCCGCTCCCCAAGCCCCTCTCCGGGAATCCTCTGCCAAAGGGGCGCCGTTAAACTAAGGATCAGCCCCGCCGCGGGGGGCCCCGGGCGCGGAGCCGCTGCTCCCCCCGGCGGGCGCGCCCCGGGCCACCCGCCACCTCGCGGCGGGCAGCTGGGGACACGGGGGACCTGCCGCTGCCTTCTTCCCTATCTCCCCCGCCTCAGAGCGGGGAGCCGGCCAGACCCGAGGGGCGACCCTGCCGTGGACGGCGGGGGACGCGGGACGTCCCCTCCCCTCCTCTCCTTAGTTCCGTCCTGGGCGCTGAGCCGCCCATCACCGCCCCCGGCGAGGACACCCGCTTGCTAAAAGTTTCCAGGACATGTCAGTGAACTCCAGAGGTCTTCTCGTGAAAGCCCGCGGGGAACCAGAGGCCCCGCCAGTGCCCGGCGGCAACGGGAGGAAGGCAAACACACGTCCGCGTCGAGGCCCGCCCGCCCGCCGGGATCCCGTACGAGTTGGGGCAGATACTCGCGTGGGACCGAGAGGACTCGCGTCCCGGCCCAAACTCCAGAACTTGCAGGTCCACCACTGCCCCGCGGCGGCAAAGGGTCCCGCGCGAGCGGCGCGGGAAACCCACGCGTGACGCCCCCGCGCGCGTCCCATCCCGCAAGGCAGCGGCTCCTTCCCGACGCTCCTGCCCGCCGGGTGGAACGACGCCCCGAGCCCCCGGCGAGCCCAGCGGCAGCGGCGCGGCCGAGCGGAGCAGAGCGGAGCAGAGCGGAGCGCGGCAGGACGGACAGGGCAGCCGGGGCAGCGCAGGCAGGAGAAGTTTGAAAACCCCCAGCACTTACCTGGCGGGGCGCGTCCCTGGCCGCTCCGGGGAGTCCCGCGCAGGGTGCAACCATCACCAACAGTGTTTTGGTGTTTTTTGGTGGTTTTTGTTTTTTTTTTGGAAAGCCCAAAAGCAAAGCGTCCCTTCCTCCAGGTGTGTATATAAGTTACTGTACTGTGTGGGAGGGTCACGATCTCACTAGGTGCAGAAGATTCCCCGGGATTAACCCCTCCTCTCCCTACCCCTTCTGCAACTTGTTGAGGATTTTATACACACACGCGCGCAGGCACGGGCACACGGACACACACACACGGGCACACACACGCACACACACGGACGGGAGAGCAAGGAGAAAGCGAGCTCCGCGGAGTCCGGCTGCCCCCCGACGCCGTTGTGATTGGATGGTCTTTTCATGGAGAGGGGACGTCTCAAGTCGAAGTCACGATTTCTCCTCAGTTTGGAACCATCTGTGACTGGAGCCATGACGCAGCCAGAGCACATTACTCACTTTTACAGTCACGACTTGGAAATCCGTGCAGTTTCCAACCAAAATTACACCGCCACCATTGAATTATTTAATAGGATCCAGTTAAGGGTAATCTTATGCATTGTGTCAAGTGAGGCAACGATCTAGGAGGGGAGGGCTGGGAAGGCGAGGGAGGGGGCGAGGAAGGAGGGCATTTCTTGTTTCTAATGCCTGTTTTGTAGAGATATATTAAGAGTTGCAATGATTGGCTACACGTGTTGTAAGGGTTTTTTTTTTCTTTAAAAAACCAAACAAACAAAATAGATATTGGATCTGCTTGTAAATACGACCACGCAAGCTCGGGGAAGGGACGGTTTAGACATTAAGGGGAGCCGTGGGTGGAGTGCCGTGCTGTGAATTTAGGCTCTGGTATTTGATTAATTGCAAGAAATGATGTCTTTTGTATGCCTAGATTAGAGCCATTGCATGCAGTCTTGGCCAGGAGGTGCTCTCACCCCAGCCCAGTGTGCTGTGCTATACTGATGTTCATGGCTGCATCATGCCATTGTCTGCAGGATCCGCAATTGTTGCTGGGCTTTGTGTGGTAGGTGCACCATTTTCTAAGCTTGCTTTTACTGCGAGGCTATGGCTAAACGTGCTCCGGGGGAAGCTGCTTCCTTATCTATTGTCTGCCTCGTGCGTTTTCCACCCTTTGCAGGTCTGAGTCTGCAGCTAAGCCCCCTTCCACGGCGGTTTCGGAGGGGATACCGTTGTCCGGGATAACGCGGTGGTGCATGTGAGTGCCGGACGGTGTTTCCGTGTCTCTTTTAATGCAATCTGATGACATGTCTTTGCTAGCCGGAATGCCTGCGAACCTGCATGCTCGTAGGCTAGAGAGAACTTCCCCGGCTCCCAGAAGCGGTGAGGGGATGACGGGTTGTTGCAGCACCGAGGTAACCCTACACAGCTACTCCGTACACACCACAACAATCCCCCACTACTTTGCCTCTAATTCAGTCATTCCACCAACTCCTCTGGTGAGGATATGACTAAGGACGCGAAGGACGGGCAATAATAAAAACAGACGCTCGCACACACACGATCAGCAGAAAGTGTGAGCACTTAGGGGGGGAAAATGAGGTGGGAGGAGAAGGGGTGAGTCCAAATAAAGCAACCTATAGCCTCTTATTTTGCGGAGCACCATCATCAGGTAGAGGCTCTTTCAAATGCACGGGCGGGAAGGGCAGGCGGCGCCGGGCGGAGGAGCGGCGGCGGGGA